GCGGTAAACTTTCTTCGGGGGGACGGACACTGTTAAAAGTATATATTTTCTATATAAATTATATAAATTTCATTTCGTTCGGGGGGGGCGGTAAAAATTTTTCGGGGGGGGGGGGGGGCTTCGCCCCCCCCCCCCCCCGAAGAGATGCCTGGAAGAAACTCTGATTTAACACGAACCACGTATATTTGAAACAAACCGTATGTATTTGATACGAACCACGTGTATTTGATAAGAACCACGTGTAGTTGGCATATTAAGTTTCGGAGGGCAGCTTAAAAGTTAAATCTAACAATAAAAGTCACACTTCTATTAATAACTTTGTAACGCTAGGAAATCCTTCTGTAGTTTCGTCACTTTACAAATGATGCAATAAGCATCTATTTTCAGACGATCCGATCAGAAATTGAGATCGAGCATCTAATAATAGACCATTAGTAATGCTAACATATTGCATCAGACACACTGATATTTATAACACATCAAATAATTTTTTTTCTACGTGTTAAAATAAAAAATCCTGTTGATTTTTATCACTTTAGCGAATGACGCAATCTGCATCACTGTTTCAGCAGAGTTTCTTCCAGGCATCTCTTAGGGGGGGAGGGGGGGGGGGGGGCGAAGTCGTCGTCCCCCCCCCCCCCGAACGAAATGAAATTTATATAATTTATATAGAAAATATATACTTTTAACAGTGTCTGCCCCCCCCCCCCCAAGAAAGTCTACCGCCCCCCCCTCCAAAAATTTCAAGTGCCCCCCCCCCCCCGGAGAAAAACACTGTGTTTCAGGCTGCTATTTTGGCGCTCTGTGTTATCATGTGAGCACTAGGGCGCTAACGTTAGTTTTAAACAGCCAGAAACAGTACGCGGCGCCCATGCGGTTGTGTAACCTGGGGCTCTCGAGAGCGCCCCTGTAAGTCCCTCACACCTAGGCGATCAATGAATTGTGTTCTACCTCACTATTACGGTGAGTGATTAACGTACACTCAAGGCTTTCATGCGGTAGGTAAACCCGTGCCTTGATAAATATGATCCAAGCGCAGGCATTGTTTACATTTAAATTTAAACTCAGTTAAAAAAAAAAGGTCACACGTCTAAGAATACAGGATTGGCAAGGCATTGATGAAACGCTTCTTATATATTTCGTCATACTTTCTTCTACCCCCGCGGTAACGCTAGTACAGTGGTGTAGCGAGGTCGGGTGTCACCCGGTGCGGCACTTAATGGTGTCACCCCAAAGGCGTAGCGACCCTTCCCGGGGACAAACTTTCGATTTGCACCCCCCTCAAACTTTCGATTTGCACCCCGCCGCCCTCAAACTTTCGATTTGCACCCCCCCCCCTCAAATTTTTCTCTATACATTTTGCTATTGTTTGCCTTGGTGTCACCCCCTAAATGGTGTCACCCGGTGCGGTCCGCACCCCCCGCCCGCCCCCCCCCCCCAGGCTACGCCTCTGTGCTAGTATCATTATATAATATCAAGTGGAACTGAGAGAGCTAGCTCCATGTTCAGTGTGAGCTTAATAAACACCCAAAGCTTAATGTATGGCGAGTTTTAATGTTCGGCATGTAAATACAATGTGCGCACAATGAACGACAGGAGCTTAATAAAAAGTGGGAGCTTAGTATTCTTTGGGAGCTACTCATTTAACCTGAGCTTAGTGTTCGGTAAGAGCTTAATGAGTGACGATAGCTTAGTGTATTGACTGGGCTGCTTTCATCCATTTTGACGGGGGGGGGGGGGGAGTAGGGGGGGGGGGGGCTTTTTGCCGCTGGCCATACTGACGGGGGCTCTTTTGTCTAAAGCTTCTTTTTGGTAGCTGTTTGGTCGGAGAGTGGTTAAACGAAAGATTTATGGAGCGGGCCTAAATTAATGAAGCCATATTTTATACGGAGGCCATCAGACTGAAGCTTAATTAATGAGAATTTAAAAAACCAGTTTAATTAATCGAAGATTTCAACTTTTCCAATTAATTGTCAATAGTGTTTCTTTCGAGCTTCTCTCCGAAGTGGCACTGCATCCCCCCTCCATGCCCCCTCTTCCCCCCGGATGAAATACTAACGATTTATATGATTTTTATTTTTTATTTTTTTACCGAAAATGTATACTTAAAGCAATGTCCGTCACCCCGGAAATTGCAAGTGTCAACCGTAAATTTTCAAGCCCCCCCCCCCCCACCCTGCCCTGAGAAAAATGTCTGAAAGTAGCCATCTCGTAAAGAGCAATATGCCAACCCCCCCCCCCCCCCTCCCCCCCCCCCCCCACACACACACTGTCCAAAAATTTACATGTCAACCATTTTGGGTGTATGTTTACGGATTCATAGGTATTTACGGGAAGGCATCGGAATTCCATTCCTGCCAAGGCAGCTAATATTCATCTGGGCATAGCGCCACAGGACAACTACCAGCCTCGTTTTCGTATGCCTGCAAATGTCAACAGTTGAACGCGTCACACCAAACGCGAGGCAACAAACTTCCTTTTCTTGAGTCAATACCAGTGACCGGAAATAGTATTGTTCTGCGGAAAGAATGTAATTCAGCGCTAGAAATAGGAAATCGTTTAAAGAAAAAAAAAATCACATCGATGTTCTTGATAAAATTTGTTTCTGTCGATAGTGCCAGGTGTGTGTGTTTGTGTATGCGTGTGTGAGTGACACCAGCTGTGCGTGTTTAGATAGTTTTACCCAGTTTTTTCTTTTACAGCCTGCCAAATCTAAAGAACATTTCTGGACATATATTACACTTACACTTGATGACATCATAACCTAGTTGAGGGGGAGGGGTCAGTTTTTTTTAGATTGACGTATATGTGTGAGATGGGAGGGGGAGGGAGGAGGTCAAAGAATATAACGCAGTGATATTTATAATATTTTAATTAACAAAAATGACGAAACAGTTATTTGACGTTGGAATTACGCTTGACTTGGGGTTAAGATGGAACTCTGCTGTATAATATTCATGTGGTGGGTTCTCTTTTGTTTTGTCCATAAACGACGTCACACTCGTAGGGAGGAGGGGGGGGGGGGAGGAGTCCGTAATTTTGACACGGTGTGTGATGAGGGGGAGGGGTGGGGGTTCAGATGGTGGACGTCACATTTTGCATTATAAATAAACCGGGAGTGATTTCCCCTAAACTTTCTCGAATATTCTTATATAAAACAACAGGGGATGGGAACTCGGGATATAGTTATGATTTTTAATCCATTTTAAATACATACACTTTTTAAAATAAAATAGAATCTCATAGAAAAAAGTATTGCACACCAAGCGAACGCCGAATAAAGATGTTCATAATGGTGCGCAATATTATTAGTACTTTATAAATTTAGATGCGTTTTTGAGAAATCGGAAATGTCGTAAATTAGTACTTCCCGTCAACGGAAATTACTCAAAATTTAACAGAAGGTAGAGAATTAGATCTTTTACTTACATGTGAAATTTCATTTATCTATCTGAAATAGTACTCAAGTTATAGGCTTTTAAAAAATTCAAAGTAGAAAATGTACCACTTCCGGTTATCGGAAATCGCTCAAAAGTTGATACGGATCTACGATTTTGATAAAATACTTATATATGAAATTTAATCAACCTAGCTGTAACGGTACTCAAGTAATCGTGTTTACACACACACACACACACACACACACACAGACACACACACACACAGACATACGGACAAGATTGCAAAATTATGTTTTTCCGTATCAGTGAGGTGTAAAACGTCGAGATTTGTAAAAATCTCGATTTTTTTTTTGCACGATTACAATACTTTCTCTATAGGCCCTACTACGTATATACGAGAAAGTAAAAAGCAATGTTAGAACACACATTTTAGACGTTATTTCGCGTTTTAGAAAACTGTTTTAATAAATTGCAATAGGAATTGATTAAAATACTCTATTTTGACAGATTTCAGAGAAGATTTTGGAAAAATATAGATGTTTTAAGAAAAATTCAACTGCAATTTTGAGGGGGGTTGTAGTCTGAGATGTGACGTCATTTTAGGGGGTGGGGGGGGGTCTGGCTTTTTGTGACGATGTGTGACGGAGGGGATGGGGGGGGGGTAAAATCGTCCAAAAAAGTGTGACGTCATTTATGGATGACCCCCAACGTGAAACGATGGGGGTGGAGGTAAACAGCGTAAAATAACGTGAGATCCTTTTAAGGTTGACCCGTTGATGTGCTTATCTGGGAGAGTCAGACGTGAAATGTATCGGTATTCAAATTGGGTTTTGGGAAAATAAAAAAGGAATGCAAAAATGTTTTCATGACCATCTTTTTAACCCCGTATAACTCAAAAGGGCATTAACAAGAAAAATGCAATTCATTCAGTCATCTCACGATTCTCTCCCTTGTCTTTTCCTATTGAAAAGTTGTTTTCTCCCATCCACACAGCAGAAGAAGAAAAAAACAGTTTAGTGTTTAAACACGTCTATTAAAAAAAAAACTTTAAATTATTATTGTACATTGATCGAAGTGAAATATTCATACATAAAATTAGATTCAATTCAGAATTTGTCCTTTCAGCAGTCAGTAGTGCCAATCAGACATCCTACTGAAATGTGGTGAACATATTCAAAGTAGTTTTTTTTATGGATGTTCTAAATTTTTCTATGACATAAATTTTTACATTAAAAACAGACAAAAACAACAGTTTTAAATCTTTGTTTCAAATGTAGTGAAGGAGTATTTTTAAAAAATACACTGCTGCTGAATTAGTACGTTAAATAAGTCACTATATATTTTATAGAGGTGCAGTAAACCTACTTCATCAGCACTTAGTATATAGATTCTAGGGCCTATACGTCAATGTGTTGACGTAATAAGCTATATAATTAATAACAAGCATTATACTTTACATTAAAAATAATAAAATATAGCTTAGGGTTAGGCCCACGCCTAGATCTATATATTTTCCAAAAAAAAAAAGTTATTCAATGACGTCATCAGTTTGTGAGGTTCTACTATGTAGTCTTAAAACGATGACGTTTTGTACAGAAACAATTTGTGTAAACTAGCCTAATGCAAACAATTTTCTAGATTCAAGCCTGGATCTACATTATTTATGAAACTATATCTCTAGATCTAGACCTAGATCTAGATCTATATTTTTTAAGCTAGTTCCGATGCACGAACAGTAAACACCTAGAATACAAACATCTCCATATATCTCTGAAAATTGTAAGTTAATTTAGATCTATTGTTGTAGTGAGTAGAGATGATAAAAATTAAAATTTTTAATAAAAACAAATCAAAACAATCAAAAGTGAACAAACACGAAACGAAACACTTGTTACTTAACTTACTAGAGTCTAGATCTAGATCTAGATCTAGATTCTAGATCTACTAGAATCTAGTTAGTTAGACCTAGACTAGTCTAGATCTAGATCTACAGCAAAACAGTCCAACACTCAACACTCAACTAACACTAAGTGTAAGTAAGTATTAAGTCATTAAGTAAACACTGTAACAGTGAGGCAGGACAATCTAGTTAACAACTTCACTGCTTCAGTCTTTCATCCATTTTCACTTTTCTGACTTTTCATGGACATAGAGTAGAATCAGTAGATTCTAATAATTCTATTACTATTGGTATTTAGAAGTATTAGCATCAGAAGTAGAGCTCTAGGCTAAGTGCTAAGTTCTAGATCTAGAAGCTAGATCTAGTCTAGATTTCCACTTCTATGTCTAGTAAAATAGTATAGTAGTTAGGGATATTTAACACTAAACAGGAGGAACACTAACTGTCACTAACCAGTAGTAACTATCAGTAGTAAAATAATTAGGCTAGGAAATCAACAGACAGACAGTCACAGAAAAAATTGATCTATTTAAAGTTTAAAGTGAAGAGCTTAATTATTATTTTCAGCTTAAGTTTTTGGACTGAAGCGAGTAAAGCCAGCCAACATGCCCGCCTTACTTGAGCGGCCTAAAATGACCAGAGCCATGTATGAGGCTTTGAAGCGTCACATCATGCGAGAAAGAGAAAAGAAAAAGCAAGGTGAGTAATGTTAATTCTTGTTTTGGTCACAAACATGATATGATAAGTTTAACAAAGTCTTTTAAAAACTAGTTTTATTTAAATAATGCATTCTGAAGCACCTTTTAAATTCATTAATTAAAAAACAAGATACCCATTAACCTTTTATTATATTCTTCATATTTAGGTATTAGCAACTTTAAAAAAAAAATTACTTTTATCGCAATTAACAAAAATAGCATTTTTAAATGTTGTATTATAAATATCCAGAGCAAGAGCAAGATGCTATGATGGAAAGATTAAAAAAAGAGCGAGAACTAAAGAAGAAAAAAGAAGAGGAAGACAGTCTTACTTTGGAGGAAACAAATGAGCAGGTATATTAAGTAAATTTCAGTGCCATATTTAAATATATTTAAATAAACAAATCATCAGCACTATTCATATAAAACAGGGGTCTCCAAACTACGACCCGCGGGCCGGATGCGGCCCTCGAAGTCCTCTCATCCGGCCCACGGAGATCTTTTTGCCCAAGGAAAAATCATTTGTTGGTGATGGCTGAGTAACTTTGCCCAGAAAAACCAAAGACATGCCTGGAAAAAACTGGCCCCCGAACTGAAATTTGTTAGTTAATGCGGCCCTCGGACTGAAAAGTTTGGAGACCCCTGATATAAAACATAATAAGTTGTTGGTTTAAATTTTAAAGTTTTGACATTTATAATAAATTATATTATATTTTTTTATTTTATTCAAAATAAATTAATAAAAATGGTAACTGAAATTGAATTTCTGGATCTTTTAAAGATTGCGCAGCTAGAAAAGAAACTGGAAATTCTGAAAGGACAAAAACATGAGCTGTTTTCACAGCTTAAAAAAGTATTGCATCAGGAAGATGAGACTAGGCGTCGAGCCCAACAAAAGGAGCAAAAGTGAGTCAAAAAAAAATAATAGAAGAAGGAAAATAATTTTATTTCTCTATATAGTTTAATTTTATTATGAAAAATAAATTGTTTCATCAAAAGATTGAATGGATATAAGTAGTACTACATATTTGTACTTAATGTTACAGTGAGATGACCATATCTCAGCCTACCTACCAGCACCCTGCTCAGGCAGCTGTACCTCAGCCTATGATGATGCATGGAAGACCAGCTTTATACAAGCCCACTTCAAATATTGTAGTTGTAAGATCATTGTTTATTTTAATTCCTTTTTTAAAAAAATTCTATACCTATTTTAGTAAACAAAGTAAGGCATTATTACAATTCTAAAAACCATTTTGTGTTAATTATGCTTTACTACTGTTTTTATTTTTGGTTAATGCAGTATTTTGGCTGTTTTTTTTTTTATTGCACATCCAGGCTCAAAATTTAAAGCGTACAAGGTCTCCATCTCCACCATCTTCTTCAGCTACATTTCCAGGGTACGGCCACAGTGAAGCCAAGTATCCGCATACAGCAGATAGCAAATATTCTCATAGTGACGTGAAGTACACTTCACACTCTGACACTAAGTTTGCCCATGCGGATCCCAAATACTTATCATCCTATACAGCCGCAAAAACTGGACCAGCCCATAATTTGTACTCAGCTCAGCACCCGTCTACTGCTGAATTCAGTGAGTTAAACTTTGGAAAATTTCTCTTACTTGAGAGAGCCCAATATCAGTTTTCTACAGTTGATTTGATTGCTATTATAATCTTGGCACAATATTTCATAATCATTAAAATCTTGGCACACGTCTTTCATAACCATTCAAACTTTGGCACACATCTTTGAATTAGCACTCAAATCTTGGGGAACATCTTTGATAGCCATTTAAATCTTGGTACACGTTTGATAGCCATGTGAACCTTGGTACACATGTTTGATGGCCATTCAATTCTTGGTACACATGTTTGATAGCCATTCAAATCATGTTACAATGTTTGATAGCCATTCAAATCTTGGTACAGATTTTTGATAGCTATTCAAATCATGGTACACATGTTTGATAGCCATTCAAATCATGGTACACATGTTTGATAGCCATGTAAATCTTGATAGCCATGTAAATCTTTGAACACATATTTGATAGCCATTCAAATCTTTGAACACATATTTGATAGCCATTCATTCTTTTGTTCCAGAGAGCTCAGTCTACCCTCAGCCAGGTACAAGCCACCTGTACTCTGCCTCTCAGACCTTCCCCCAGCAACAGGCAGTTGCAGCAGCCACAGGATCCTACCCCAGTGGTCAGTCCAGTGCCAGCAAATACCCGGGGCCTGGTCAGTCGGCATTCACCTCTTACCCAAGTGCGTTTGCCCAATCTCACCCTCAGAAGGCATTGCCAGAACCGTTTTCATCCGCTTATCCAATCCAACGGATGCAACAGCCCAGTGAGTCTAATTTCGTATTTATCCAGTACAGTATAGTTTAAAAAAGGATAACTTATCTCAAAGTTATAGTCATAGAAACACTAGACATGATCTAAAAGTAACTCAGTAATACAACATTCAACCACCTAGAAAAAATTGTTTTTGCTAACTTTCTCAAAGGTTTTATCAGCAAAATAAAATGGCAAAAGCATTCTGCTCAACACTGCTGCGTATTTATTTTGGCTACTATCAAGAAGCTTTGAACGCAACATAAATGAAATAAAAAAATTTATCAAAACTTTTTGTGTTTATCTTAAATTATCATGCTCCGTTATCAAAACTAATATTCTAACTTCATGTGTTTATCTTAGATTATCATGCTCAGTTGCAGTTAGAGCATGCTGCACAGAAACAAGTAAGTAGTTTTTTGGCTTTTATTTTTTAATTCTTTAGCTAGAATTTTAAAAAAGTAGAAAAGTTATTAGAAATTAGTTGTTACTATGTTAGAGTTTTTTTTTGTAAATTTATAACGATTCCCACGTGTACACAGGGTCAGATAAGTCAGATAAGAGGCATCGTTGCAGCTAATCCAACTCTGTCACAAGCCATGCAGCTTCAGCAGCAGCAGCAACAACAGCAACAGGCCAAGGTAAAAATAGGAAGCACTTATTTTATATTTTATACTTAACCTCATTGGTAGCATCTATATAATATTTCACTCCTGTGTCTGACAAGATTGGTTTAGAGAAAATATAAGGAAAACTAAAACCATCACTAGCAAATGACATCACATGAAATGAAGAGGGAAAAACAGAATTAAGAAAGCTTGCACAAATGAATGTCATTGATAATAAAGACACAAAATTTAGCACCTATTTTGTTTTTCTAATATTACAAGTGAATGTATGCCTCTGTATTATACAAAAACATACTGGAAAAGTGAATATGGAATAAGCTTTAAGATAAAGTATTGTATTTGTGTCAGGCTCAGATCATAGAGTCCCCCAAATTTGTTGAGTACTTGTCTTAAGTCATGGGAGGTAAAGACTTGGACATTGTGCTAAACACCCTTTCTCCTTATAAAAGAGTTAAAAAAAACCTCCTTTACTCTACCCCTCAGTAAATAATAATTTTGCCTGTTAATCTATTAGAAACTTACTACATTCATGTGTAAACCTGCTTACCACATTTTAAAAATGTATATTGCACATGAAGACTATAGATATAAGTAATACAATAAGAAACCCTCCCTTCTTATAGAGTGCTGCACCATTTGTACCAGGATACACTGCAAGAAGTCAGGCTGCCCCACCTCCTGTCAACTACCCTACATCAACTAGTGCTGTAAGTTTTTTGCTTACTCATATTTAGTGAAAAGTGTTCTTAATATGAAGGTATAAATAGAACTTTTATTACTGCCGATCATAAATTGCAAGTTGATTAAATTGATAATGACTAATATATAACACTATGACAAATGAAAATGTGATTTCCATTCAATCATATGCCATTAGAGAAATTTTTCTAATGAGTTCTTATACTTTCTTTGAGGGTTGCAATTTTTCTATAAGATTATTATAAAACTATTGATTAATTGTATAATCACCTATAAAGAGACATTTGTGTCAAGCTCATTTTTTATTCATGTCATTGAAATATTTTGAAAGCTTAGTTTAATATTAATCACTCTTACTCATTCATTATTTTAATAATTTTATTGGGAATAGAATAAAATATTTTTTAGTGTATGTAGTAATCATCTCAGCTAAAGATATAAAATGGATTTTCCTTTATTATGGTGTAATTGTTTGATATAAATATAATTTTTTAGCCAGAATTAGCCTTTTACATTAACATTACTATCAATGGGAAAACTGAGTTAAATATTAACTATTTGATAAAACTAGGTAGTCTAGCAATTATTGAAAACTTTTTGCCTTCTCATTGAAGGATTTATATTATTATAACTAAATTATACTCAACATCATAAAAAATTCTGCTTTAAATAACATTTTTTAGAAGTCTATCTCCCTTTAATAGAATAAATTGAATAATAAAATAAAAGGATTTAACTGCTTTACAGAGCACATACTCAAACCAGACAAGCAGCCAAGGGAGGTCAGCGTATGGAGGACAAACACATGGCAGATATTACTAAATTTTCTAACTTGTTATAATTTAACACTTTTGTCGTAAGAGTGATGAGTAAAAGTGGATGCTATCTCGTATTTAACTTGTGCGCTTTTAATGTACGAGCTTACCAATGGATCATACTCTCATTTACTTAAGTCAGTATAGATATTTTAAAAACTTACATTGTAAAGTTTTTAGTTTGTTTCATGCTGTACAGATATTGTGCAATCTCTACCACTCCATTAAGTTTCCATAAAATAGGTTTACAAATATCCTACATTCTCTACTGTTTTCAATTTTCTTTAGAATGTCCACGCCAACATGTGGCATAAAATTGTTTAGATAATCCTTGTGATAATTGTAGTCGATTTATTACACTTTGTTTTTGTACCAAATATGTAAGAACAAGGTAATTTTTGCCATGTGACCTCTAATAGATGACACAGTACTATATAAAGGTATAATAAGTGTATTTGTGTTCAACTGTGCTACAAAACAGTAGATTACTAAAATTGCTAGTGTAGTTATTAATGGTACCACTGTTGTATGTAGTGTATTGGGAATAAAACTATTCTGAGCTATTGATTTGTTTGTGATTATTCTGTTCTTGTCATGCTAGTTTTCAGCAAGTCAACACACCAAAGATGAATGAACAATTCAAAACTTTATTTAAATTAAAAAAAATTTCTCTCATATCCCCAAGTTTATAGTGGCTTGCTCTGTCACTTGAAATTTACTGCCACCAAATAATGCTTTAAACAAATCATCTCTGCAAGAAAAAAAAAAAATTCAATTAAAAATAGGAAGTACAAACACAGGTTTCTGCGTATTCAGGGAAGCCACTACAGCCAAAACACTGGAGACTAGCAATCAGTATCCTATGTGTATAATTAATTATGAAGGACACATACATAAGAAATATGCAATTGAATTATGTTACATTACTTACTTCTGTTCATCAGACCAAAGAGACTTGTCGAATGGTGTCATATAGTTCTTCAACTTTTCTTTCACATTGTATCTACAAAAATAAAGTGTCATTTCTACATTTAGAAGAACAAATCCTACCAAAAAATTCAAGTATCTATAAACTTTCAAGGTAAGCAGCCACTAAAATTGGGAGACTCACCTTATTTTTCTACCTTTACTGGCCCGCGTGTCAACTTTCCTCTTCTGTTTATTCCTAAGACGTTGAATTTCTAACCACTGTCTGTGAAAGCAATGAAATGATAAATTATATTTCTCAGACAGGGTAGTCTTTGTAAATAAGAGAAAAATGCACCCATCAGTCCTCGCTGCCTTGTAAGTCTGATTAATAAGCAACGCCAGTGCCTGCATATTTTAAAAGCTGGTATTTTAAACCGAATTTTGTAAAGTAATATGATTAGGGTTGGCTATTTATAACAATTCTATGTTACAAATAAATACTACCAACATCTATGAACAAGACTGAACCAAAGGAAAGTATATGAACATAAAACACAACAGCTTTTGTTCTTGAACAACATCTAGTTAGGGAAACTTACTTGCTGGCATTGACTGGATCTGTCTCCTCATTCTGTTTCATCTCAATCAAGTCCCTGAGGCACACATGGTAGAAATCATTGTCATCTATAATCTCCTGGTTTAGTGGCAGCTCCTGTTTTGTCTTCTGTTTTAGCTTCAGCTGATCAAGTACAAGAAGGGTTAAACATGGGCTAAACACTCAGTCCCTATATGAGTTTATCTAAACTCAAGCACTTCAAAATAACACAAGGAAGTATTCCTTGAAAACTCTGCACTAAAAAATAAGAACGAAGTATTCCTTGAACACTCATAACTTCAATGAATCCCCCATATTTATTTAATAAGAGCAATGGTACTAAAAAAAATCTGTATTAGCCATATTTGATACTAGTTTCAGTTTTAAAATAAATATATGGAAAGGTTAACCAATCAACAAACAAAAAATTAGCACTTGCCTCTACATCTTGGTCATCATCATCATCATCTACAGTGACCTCCTCATCTTTTTTTTCCTCACCACCCTCTGACTGCCCCAGTATTCTGTAAGGTGTCCGCTGTTGGTGTAACCTTTTGACCAGCCTTTCTCTGTTTACTAAAACCTTAATAGTAACAAAATATAGAAGGTATTTTTGTAAAGTAAATGATAAGATATAAAAAGTATTATAAAGCACATTATTCCATAGCCAAGTGTATTTTTTAAATATCAGAGGACTAAATAATACACAATTAATAGTTTTCTAAACTGCAATAGTAAAGAGAGAAGTAAGGGGCTTTTTTTTGAAAAGGGCTACATTAATTTGTGTATAGGCTTTGTTTTAAAATAAACTTTTTATATGTTAGTCAAAAATGTAATTTCAATACATACTTTACACGAAACAATTCTATCAAAGCAGTTTGATTTTGAGCATTACAGGACCAATCCCAGACAACAGACACAGTCCACACATCAGACTCACCTGCTCAATCTGTTTCAGCACAGACATCTCAAAAGCTGCAAAGTTTTTTGACCGAATTTTTCCTTGTGCTAGTCTGGTCTTCTCATCCCATTTAGACAAAGTGTCATTTCTAAAAAAAAAAAAAAGATAAATCTAGTTTATTACCATTTTAAAAATAAATACATCTTATTAAAAAAAGCATTCTAGATTACAAATACAGATGAATCTAAGGGTTGCATGAAAAGGATGCTTAGATAATTGACAGCTAAAACATTGGTAACCCATCTAAAAAAGCTCTATAGATTACAAATAGGGGATCTAGGATGTGCATCAAAGGGAGACTTAGATAAATGTAAGCTAAAAATATAGGCACCACACTCTCCAGCCCCCATATAAAAGGATGGAGGAGTCAATCTTCTTCTTCGTTCTTAATTATTAGTGTTGAAGGGGATCGAGATTTATCTGCTAGTGGATTTGAACTCGAGACTTTGTTCGAATTTATCAAACATGAGCTTTTTGCCGACTCGACCACGCCTCCAACACAATTAAGCGTTACGTGTCAACTGGTTATGCGCCATTGAGGCCATAGACTCCGATTTCAGCCTGCTTTCTTTTTTGGATTTGCTTCCATAGCCTTTGTCCAACCAAGAAGAAACTACAAGGCAGCAGTTGTTTAATTTTGGAGTTGTCTCTCCTAGAAGAGTGGCTGTCCCCAGCTAACGAGCCTCATCTGCCCGAGGGTTCGAACTCGAGACTTTTCGGTTTAGCAACCATGAGCTTTACCGACTCGACCACGCCGACCCCCAGGGAGTCAATCAATCCAACTAACCTGTATGTCTGATATTCCTTGTGTCTCTTGGCCAACGTCTCCTCAATCTCCTCAAGATTTAATTTTCGTTTAAGCCGACCTGAATGTTTTTGACTGTTCTCTGATACATCCATATCTTTCTCTTCATCTTCCTCCTCTGAAAGCTCTGCATCATTATCTTCGCCATTCTCTACACCATTCATAGAACTTTTTGTGCCATTTGATTTAGCATCATCTTCAGGTTCTGATTCACTGGTGATCTCCTCATCTGAACCACCTGCTGACTCCTGTCTAATTTCCGATAATCAAGGAGATAATTAAGTTTTTAAAAAAAATAACACATTACTCTAAGTCTTTAATAAGGTTAAAGGTTAGTCAAATGATCTTGTGATGACTACTACCTAGTTATGTTCTCAACTGTTATTGTATATGATAATCTCTAATTTCTTAAGACTAATTCAAAATGTATTTAGATTAAAAATGAGGTGTTGCATTACCACAGGAAATGAACTAATTTGGAAAGTATGAAAGAAATTCCATTTGTAGTGGTTCAAAAATGTGCTATAAGATTAGATCATTAACTATATGCCCTCAATAACAAACGTCTTTTTCAATTCTGATGGCTATTCATAATATCTTAAACACAATGCAAAGTCTTTTTAGACAAAGTTAGACTGAATAGAGAAGAACATCAGAAATTTAAAAACAACATTACTTGGAATTTTTCTTTTCTGTTAGAAGTGACTGTAGATCTAATAACGTAGAATTCAGTTTCCTGACAGAGCTGTGTACTGAAATTGTATGACACGAGTTATGTGAATATAATGTGTTAATACTAAACACCCTTAACCCTTTATCTACTGACGGTACCACTTCAATTAAGTGCCTGTATTATTTTTAATTTAATACGAATTTTAAAAATTATTGATGTATTTAATAGTATTATCTCCCCTGAATCGCAGGTAGTCGGAGGTATCAATGTTTTTTTGAAAATTACTGGTGTGGCGCTTTTTCAATGTCTTGCTATATCAGTAGTTCACAATTTTTCTGTACATTTCTCACACACGTTCCTGATTTCCCTTTGATTTACCTTATTTTTCAAGTTTTCAACCCCAAAATTTTTTTATTGGCACCTTCAATAGTCAGGCAAACGCATTTAACTTCTAGTTATACAATTTTAATCAAATTGTCTTTGTATTAGATCGATGTTTACAAGTGGACTTATAAGTACCGTCAGGGCACACGGTAATTTTTTTTAGGATTTTTAGAAAATGGCAGATTTGTTAGGTGGAGTTACATAAATATTGTCTTGATAATTAATTATCGAAATGTACTCAAAAAATGATATTTACACATTTATAAGAAGGTTTGCATTTGGTTTACCTAAGAAATATTGTAATTACATGTAAATTTCTAGTAGTAAACAAGGTTTAGTATACTTCATTTGTATACCAAATCCAAGTTCTAGTTGTAAGATTTAATTTGTTAGTTATATTTACTGCAATAAACTGTCTTGCGTACAATAACTGGCATTTACATAATGTATACCTGTAGACTAGTAATATTCCATACTTCTGCATATAGTATAGATCTACAAGGTAAATTTTAATCAGTAAACAGAAAAGAGTAATCCGCTACTTCTTCCAAAACACATTGAGCTCACTTCTATTTATGAACTTTGCACTGTAGTGTAGACTTGCCATAACATTCTAGTAGGCTACAATTATACTAGTATTACTAGTAGTGTGCTGAATGATTAGGCTTTTGTTTGTTTATGCGGCTCATTGTACTAGTTATTGGAAGCTTCCAGCAAAAGCATATTCATTCCGGCAACTGTTGCTACTGTAACGAATACCAATCTATCAGCCAGATAGTTGGCGAACGCTCCCGGATTCGTTTAAATGATTATACACAGATGGCAATAAGCCTAAATAAAAAAATCTAACACAATAGTTTACTAGGACTCGCACTTGATGTCTAGGGGAAACACTAGAGAAACTACTGATGCCAACAATACATTTAATCTTCATATAACTTTTAATGAGTGTACAAAGTCGTGGCAGGACACTAGATTTATACAGGATAAAATAGATTTACAGAATGAACAAAATCCAACTTACAATTTGTGGGAAAAAATACTATGATACACTATCACAGCTTTTAACACTTCAGAAAAATCACCACAGTTTACACAACACTGCTATAAGCATAAAGTATTACTTAACCACAAGATATAAGAATATGCTGCTTAAACAACTTAGTACTACACGGCGACACACAGGGCTTATTATCTCTCAACGATGTCTGGTCAAGTAACTGCCTAGAGAAACCTGTGCGCGGTCTATTTATCGACTTAGGCAACATGGAAGGTCACCTTCAAATCATAAGGCTATTGGTTGGGGTATCACCTGGTCCGAATCAACCAACGGAAAAATACTGAGTCTAAGACTTTCTTAAGACAGTGGAAAAAACCAGTGATTACACCACAGACCATATATGGTATAATAACAAATGTAAAAATAGAAATTACCAGACCTAAGTAGGTCACATTACACCAGAAAGACCACAGACAAGATTGAGGGAGCATGACATGTCGACTACTTTTGCTGTGTTTGAGGTCTAAGATGTGTTCTGATAGAAAATCCAGTAAAAATCGTACTCAAAATATACTTTTGTGCTGTATTTATGTGTGAAAATTACAAAAAGTGATTGTTATAATGATTGCCATGTTATTAGTTAATAAATTGTATCGTTAGTTCCTGTTTTGTAAAAAAAATTTTGAAAAAAAATGTCCTAGATTACTGACGGTACTTATAAGTACCAATATCTGTTTGGGCCATTAAAAATTTATGAAACGAAACTTCCTTCGACATATGCTTTGAATGTGCCAAAGGCAATATAGTAACACATTGTTTAAGTAAAAATCTCATTCAGAACATAATTCCGTAAATAAAGGGTTAAAACAACTACATAAAACAATCTGGTCACAAAATGGAGAGAGAAATAAGGGACACAACCCAGTCAAAACCAAAATTTGCTAATTTTATTACAAAAAATCTACTTTGTTTAATAAATTTAATAAATTCAAAGTAAACACATCTCTAAGCACATTCAGGGTTCATGCTCAAAAGTTCAATTAAAATTCCAGGACTTTTCCAGGAGTTTAATAAAAATTCAAGGAGATTTTAAAAACAAAAAAGAAACCCAATTTATACATTTAAAAAAAAAGCGTACTTAATAATAATACATTTAATTAGCTAAGCCAATGCAAAAATTTAATTTCAGTAAAAGTAAAACAATATATTAGTTACATATTAGGATAGAGGCTATCAATCTGACTACAGACCAGTTTGAATTTTCAAAATCTGACCATAAACAAAAAAGTTATGATTTTTTTTGTCATTAAAAAAATAGCAGAAAACTGGGATAGACCCTGAAAGAGGATAAATACTGGGACGGTATGGACCAAATTTTAAAGAGTTTATCACTATAAAAGAGGTATAAATGCAAGCAGACTTCACCAATTAATATCATTTCGTGATATTTTATTGATTTTTTGGATGCCAAATCCAATGATGCTAGGCTAGTCGGCCAACCAGATGAACGTGTCAGACGAATATTATGTAATTTCAGAGACAAAAGTCTGGCAAGATTTCTTGATCTATGCCCAAGGATTAGTAACATTAACTCCACAAAGTGAAGGGGGAAGAGAGGTGGGGTATGAAACCACCACGAGCTGCTCGGGTACCATACGGGTGTTACACAACATCAAAGGCGCCGACCGTCGGCTTGTCGCGTCACGGAGTAGTGGGGGCGGGTTGAGCTATGGATGTTACGTTGGGTGTTACATACCCTGTAGGATGGTCAGTGTCTTCCCCCACCCACCCCATTTTGGTCGATTTGGCAAGCTAGTATTAAGCGTTAACAATTTATTAATAATTTATTATTAACAATTTTTAGTCAACCGAAAAAAGAGCCACTGGAAAAAATTAATTTATTTGATAGCCATTTTTACGAAAAATTAATATATAAAATAACTATAAAATAATGAAACGTTACGCGAATCAGCATTGTGTGATCGGGTCGCAACTATCAGGGTTAATTTCTAAAGAAGATTAATTTTGACGATTAGTCCTGAGCCGTAAATACTACTACAACTTTTTTTTGCTGTTTCAAAAGTTTAAGACAAAGTTATGAAACATGATGTCTACTTTAAAAATCCAATAGCTGACAAGTCAAAGACGGGAACACGTGTATGCCTATCTATCTTTAGAAATTGTTTATAGTATCATCCATTCGGGTCAATCGCCTAGCGTCACGTGACCACACACTCGGCTGGAGCCACACGATGTGTAGATCACGGCAGTGCAATTCAGTCGGACGACGGCCGATGCGTTAATTTTTGTTTTCGTCCCATTTAAAAACTACTATTCAATTATTGGCGGAACAAAATCAAATAATTTCGGTCGGGTTTTGCACCGCGAGTTAATGAAATTTCATTAGATTTCATGGGAATTTTTAAAATTTCAGGAGAATTCCAGGAGGTTTTTACGTTTTTTAAGATTCCAGGAGTTTTCCAGGACCTCCTGGAATTTCAGGAGGAAGCACGAACCCTGCACATTGCAACACCTAATCATTTTTATATCTAATATATACAATAAGAAGTGGCGAGAAGTGGGTAGGGGAAAAATTACCTGATGAATACACTGCAGAGGTTTAATTTAATAAAAGCTGAACGATGTTTGTAATAAAGCAGTGTAAAAAGGGTTCAGTACTAAAGATCAACAATCATAATGACCTACCATTATTTGCTTCTAATCTGAACTTGCCATCCATCATAAACATTGGCCATTTGTCAGGCAGGGGCAGCCTGTTACAGGCAGATGTTAATTTCTGCAGCGCTATCCTGCACTTTATGATGTCATCCCACACACCTGCGCAAACATGCTTTTAATAATATGGGCAAAACAGAAGGTGTATTGTTTTTTCATGTTCAATATAATAATAATGCTAGTCACAACAGTGAGTTGCTGGTAGAGTTCTGACCAGGGTGAAGATGTAAGAATGTTTAAGGAAGGATCACAAGTCTGTTTAACCAGATCCTAAATTTAAACAATTTGAATTACACCAGGTACATGTTCCAAAGCGAAAAGCAAATTTGAGGAATTTTTAAAGATTTTAAAGGCAGAGAAGGAATAATTTCAGGACTTTTAAAGGGAAATAAATATGGCAAAAATTTAAAGAACAACAACATAAAAAAATTTATTGAAATGATATGACATTTACAGAAGCTACTGGAATTTCAGGAGCCCTGATTATAGGAAGGACTTTCAACATTTCACCATCATCTCTTAACACCCGTTGGTGCACAAAGCATCAACAAGTGAGATCCATTTCACCCTGTCTCTAGCTATAAACTCTGCCTGTTGGAATAGTAGATCAACATCTCAACAGATGTAATATAGATTTCCTGGTCTGTTTTTAAGAACACAGCATTGTGCTGGCTATCAGTCGCCTCACATATTGAGGACATATAAAGAGTCAGTGTCTATGAAATTCAATTAAGAGAAGTTAATCTATTTGTGATAAACCCAAGTCATGATAGATAAAAATTAAATACCAGATCAGCATATAACAAAAATCCGATCTATAGTAATGACAAAACACAACTTCCCTGACAAAGGTTTTAAACAATTAAAAATAGAGTACAAGGTAGAATTAGAGCTATGAATACAACAAACAACCCACCTAGTTGAAAGGCAACAACTTTTCCTTTCTCTCTGTCGTCAGAGCTACTTTTAGGCATAATAGATGCATCTGCTTGTTCTAAAAGAATTGAGAAAACATTATGAATGCTGTATTTAAATTAGTGGCCTATACAAATAAATGTTAGGAACAAGATAGTGAGGCATAACATCAAAGGAGTACTGATATCATCAGGTCCATAGGAAAATGAATGGGATTGTCCATCACAGCCTTGGGGTTTCAGGGGGGGGGGGGGGAGGGGGGAGAGAGAGATAAATAAGGGTTACACCAAACCACCCAATCCAAGAAAAAACATCTTATCACAATGCTATCATCACCTTTTGTTTCCTCTTCATCCTCATCTGATGCCACATCTACTCCATCATCATCATCCTCCATGTTGCTTTCTTCATCCTCCTCCTCCTCACCACTGGCATTGCTTTCATCATTTTCTTCCTCATTGCTATCACTGTCAGAGGCTTTAGAATCTTTATCACTAAACAATGGTACAAAATATTTGTATCATTAAACAATTATAAAAATAAAAACAAGTTATACACAATTCAGATTACAATTGTAATACCACACACAGTATATAATTGTTTACATTTTTTTTTAGAATTTCTGAACCCTTTTTGTGTATCCAAAGATTTTTGTTAAGCCTGATAAACAAAAAAAAACTTTTTTTATTATCCCTTTACTTATATAAAGATCTTCAGCACTTTTTATGACTAAATATATTGGGGTTTACTAAGGGACATATTTAAAAAAAATGTATAGCTTGTAACTATACCGTATGGAAAGTTTGAAATAACTGACCTTGTGACACTGCCATGGCCTTCATCCTCATCTTTAAAGAAAATTATTTTACCATATTAGAAATAAGATTATACGACCATATTAGAAAGAAAATTATTTGATCATGTTACATAAATACAGTAAAAATACAGTTTCAAGTTTCATTGAAAACAAACATCTTACTAACTTAAATATATATATTTAGGTGGTAACTGTTTAACTCAAAAAATGAAATAAATGGTATTCTATTTTAAACATGTCATGTTTCAAATAAAAAAAAAAAAAGCTACAAACTTTCAGTTGTAAACATACCATCAGAAAACAAATCTTTTCTGGATGTCTTCTTGCCCTGGTATCGAGGATCATCTTCAATGATAGCAGCCTGCTTTCTGAGAGCTGTAGTTCCAAGTGCTTCTGCTTCAGTAAACCCTTCTACAAGTTTTGCTCCAAAACCTAGATACAATATCACAAAAGAAAATATAAATATGGCAAAACAACTTGAACAATTTTCTTTGCTAATGGAGTATCTTTTATTCAACTAAAGATAGAGTTTACACTATTATCTAAATTTATATAGGCCTTATAGGGGTTGGTGTGGTGGAGTCGGTAAAGCTCATTGTTCCTAAACCAAAAAGTCTCGAGTTAGCACCCTCAAGTAGATGAGGCTCGTTAGCTGGGGACAGCCACTATTCTAGGAGAAACAACTCCAAAATCAAACAACTGCTGCCTTGTAGTTTGTTCTTGATTGGACAAAGGCTATGGAGCTTGAAGCAAATCCAAAAAGGGTCAATGGGGATTCCAAGATCTTTTAAGTTTACAGTTTTTCATCCTGCACTTCTGGTAGGTAAAAAACCCAAAGATTGAAAAAAAAATCTCGCAGATTGTGTCTGGCAATTTACCTGTGACTCCGCAGGTATGTCTCACAATTTCTTCTCGAAATTTATTTTCCCGTCTTGCAATATTTTTTTTTACTGAATTTAGCCTACATCCAAATTTGCCAACACCCTGGGTTTTGATCGGGCCTCTGTGTTCAGTTGACTTATATTTTAACTTACAATTTATTATAGCGAGTCTCACTAACTTGAAAGCGTCTCTGGTTGCTAACAACAACATGGCGTCCTAAACCGGACGCTTAGTTTCGGACATTTTTCTTGTCTGCCCAAGTGACTTTCTAGGAATTCGTTTTTAAAATGTTTACCTCGTGAAAAATGGCGTTTTTTCACATAATGTAAACAAACTATAAATGGCAGAGCTAAATATGCCATAGAAACGCTATAAATTGCTTTGGATAATGAAGAACGAAGCTCAAAAAGTGGCGCCGACAAACATTCGTAGATCTTTTTAAATATTAGCTACTACGATGTAGATCGGAAACCGAAAGTACATCAATATTAGATTTAGCAGTCTGTGTAAAAATAAATCGAATATTACATGCGCTAATTTTTTTAAAAATTCTCCAAAACGGTCACCACCAAAAGTAAAAATTCCATAACCCACGTGACCGCTATTGGGCGGGAAACGTTTGCCTAGGTGGCTCTATCAATTCTTTACTACGTTTGTGTTGTTATTTATGTTGACAATCGTTAAGTGAATATTTTCCAATTTTGATTTTTACATTGCTGGACAAATTAATTAAGTATTTCGATCTGAACATGGGAAGATAGGAATTAGTTGGTATTTCTGTAAACCGGTGATCTCGTGGTGAAACGCGATCTCGATACATCTAGTAAAGTCTAGGTGCTAAATTATTTACTTGATTTTATTATTACTAATTACGACTTGATCGAATTATAGTTAATATTATTTTCATTTGCTTTCATTTTTTATATAATTGATTATTATGATTTAGATCCAGAAGGACTAGGCTAATAAATTATAATAATCATATTAGAGGACAGCCTGCATAAACAAAAGTTTGCATTCTTAGATCTAGATCTCTAGTTGACAGAGTACTTTGACTTGCGCACACGCTCGCGTGACGAAAGAACGCAAGCGGGCTCGTGACGAATTTGCATAATTTTTCACTCACAAGTGATCAACGTTAATGTGATAGGCGTAGCCTAACAATCTTTAAATAGATCTAGACACAAATTTAAGTATTAAAACTCCGCCTGGATATGTCTAGCTTCGGACGGGCGATGTTTCTCACGTTGACAAAACAACGCGAGCGAGCCGTCACTACGCACAGCCTATGAGTGGCGATGTTTGGAATGCATTTCTCGCTCACATGTGATGAAATTTAATGCAACGACAGTTTTAAAAATAAAAACAGATATTTTATTATGTCTATATAGATCTACTTTTTTTTAATATTTAAAACTCAGCCTGGACAAAGCTTCCATGCTGGATAAGGGAGGAGGGTTAGATTCCGCCGTTAACTCAATCTATTATTATTAGGCCTAATTGTCCTAATTAAACATTCCTATTTACACTGATTAATCAAGAGTGAATAAAAGTGAAAATGAATACCTTTAAAAAGTTTAGATCTATATATTTTTAAACATTTATACGTGATTATTTTTGGTTCATTCATTTGGCGTTTACTAGAAATACAGTAAATAGATTACATAACCAAGTTACGAGTATCCTTTCGATTACGTTTTATTGCAGCATACCTCCACTTCCCCACACATGATCCTTACGAACATCCTTGGTCGTTTTCAGGTCAACTTTAGAAACCAGATCTTTGACTGGTTGTCATGGAAAAATCTTTCACAGCTAAGCTGTATGGCACCAATAATTAAAATCATGTATTTTAGTTCATAATGAGCTAAAATCATCAAATGTAGTGCCTGGTTAGTTAGAGAAATATCTCTAGCTTTTATTGGTATTGAGTATTGGTTAAAAAAATAAATAATTAAAATTAAGGGTAATCTATCGTTTTGGGTACGTAAAATCGCCCGCGATTTGTAATGTGAAAAACAGGTGACTTCTTAAATTTTAATAATTATTTCACATTTTGAGGAGGATTTATGTTTTAAAAAATTCAAAAATGTTTCCTTGATTCATTTATGTACCTGTTTTTAAAAAATTGAATTAAAACTTTTCCGTAATAAATGAAGACTAGCGATGTTTCCAACAGATGCAACCATGCTCATTTACTATAGCAGCCATCTTGTCTAAGTTTTATTTTTATAAGCTTTTAGCGCCAGATTCAGGGGGAAGCCACTCTATTTTACAAATGGCTGCTGTTTATATAGCAAATCTTGCTCTCAGACACTGCTGTTTAAAGTTAATTTCTGGCCTATATCGATATATTTAGCCATTGATTTAGGTTTATTATTCATTTATCTATAATATTTGACACAAAAGTATGACAATATACTTCTATTAAAGCCTTGACAATGAGGTAACGTTTTCGTACATAAATAGCCGCGGGCGATTTTACGTACCCAAAACGATAGATTACCAAATTAAGATTTAGTGAGCCTCGCTAATTTATTAATTAAAAAAAAAAACTAGTAGTGAATAGCAGGGAAGATCTAGGAAATGAGAGAGTAGACGACAGGCTACATTTGTCAAAACACCAACGAAATTTGACTAAAAAAATAATGAAAATAGAAATTTTAAAATTAAAAATTAAATTTGTAGGCCCCTCCCTACTCAGAGGCTACTCAGGCCTACTCTCTTACCATCCAGAGGATCTTCGGGGTCTACGTCAGTTTCAGGTGCTGTATTTTTTAGTTTAAAAAGTTCATCAAATAGTGAACTAGTCATTTTTGACAAATAAAATTAGATCTAGATTCCTAGATCTGAGGCTGCCTACAATAAAATATCACACTTTTTCTTTTCTACATGTGTTTTCAGTGTTTTTACTTTTTATGTCAACCGGAACTAGAGAGCTACGAACCTGAATTAATTAGCTTTCGCAAAACTATTTTCAATTTATCATGATATTTATTATATTTATTTAGGTTATTGATATTTTTATACTAAACAATAAACCACCAGTTTCTAAAAACTAAAAACTTATTTTAAAATGCCTAATATATCAATCTTTCTCTATAATAAAAATTAACTCGCTAAATATCTGGAAGATTTATAAAAAATAATTAGGGCCTAGGTGGAATTAATTATTTCTATCGGTATAGCGGAGAGCACAGTAATTAGAAATTTTATTCCCCAAACCCAGTGATTAATTTAATTACGCCGTAGAAGAAGCTGCCCAATGATTCCAAATGTATGTCTAAGAAGAAATAATAAAAAAAGAATTCCATGAAATTGAAAGTAGGTGCTATGCTATAGTGTAACCAGTAACGATAACTAGAGCTGTATTACTTCGACTAAAGTTATAGCTGAGTTATTTACCCTATCCCACAATTTCATGTCTCCTAGCATCAAGTTTTTTTTATAAAAATCGCGTAAATATACACCAGAAGTACGTTTTCATGGAATCTAATATATAGTTTTAATTACGTTTACTCGAGCAAACTGTTCTTCCTGAAAGAAAACAAAAACACAGCGAAATCGGGTTTTTAGGGGAGAGTGTGGGGCGGTATGGAGAAAGGGAATGCACCAAAAGGTTGTCTGTGTAAAATGTTGGTCTGGTTCAGGTTGGGGTTTGGGATTCCCTGGAATAGAGCATGTATAATAGAAGGGCGGGACAATAATTATAATGTAGATTTTTATTTTGTTTAAAAAAAGAAGTATCATTCACTCTATTCAGTTAGACTTATTACCTACTACACTCTTTTTTTAAAATCAGAATATCAACATAAATACAGAATAATATCTATGAATGAACAGTGTATCGCCATAATATACACAATGAAATATAATATGGCAGAAAAAAACTGTGGGAAAAAACGTTATAGCTTATAGTTAAAAAATACATTTGAGCACACCATCATTGACACGGTTTTCGGCATAATCACGATACGTATTCGTCTATGGTCAGAGGCGTAGCGACCCTTCCCGGCGCCCGGGGACAAACTTTCGATTTGCACCCCCCCTCGAACTTTTCATTTGCACCCCCCTCGAACTTTTCATTTGCACCCCCCCCCCCTCAAACTTTCAATTTGCACCCACTGGAACTTTTCATTTGCACCCCTTCCCCCCCTCAAACTTTCAATTTGGCGCCCGGGGATATATGTCCCCGCCCCCCCCCCCCTCGCTACGCCTCTGTCTATGGTCGCTCCCGAACACCACTTTCAGTAAACTTCTATGCAGCCTATATTCTCTCACTCCAGTCAGTGAGCGATATACAAAAATCATGAAATATAATTACTGATCGCTCATGCATTCACTTACGTTGGCCAGGTGTCCAACATTCACACACGATTGTCTCCGAAAACAATACACACGAATACAGTATGTTACAGATAATAAGAAATTTAATAATTAGAACGGTTACATCTAGGACTATAAAACAGTTACATCTAGGACTATAAAACATATTGCACATGCATGGTATTAATGTTGGTAGAAGTTGAATTTGGGAGCTTATTTATGTTCTTTTGTTATTGGCAATAGTTCACTTTCCTTTAAGACATTTGTTGTCCATATTATTTTCAACATGATATTGTTATTTGTTACGAAAAATATTAAACCGAACATAGACTAAATGACGATACATTAATTGATCTGAGGTTTTTGCTGGTCTACAAAATAAAAAACTACAGTATTTAAAGGTTACAGTTTTATAAAAAAGTGAAATAATCATAATTCAAAATAATAAGAAATATTAAATACTACACACCATAGAAGTTGTGCAAAAACTAGTTAAATAATATAGAAAAAAAAACAATCCGCATTTTTCCAATCATTTTTAAAATACAGTTGAAAACTTAGTAATAATAAAATATGGATTATGTTTCTTTTTCTTTTGAAATTTAGAAATGGGAAGTAACTGTTATGAGAAACAACAAGGTAGCTATTTATCAAAATACTTAAGATGTATTAATTAATTAATTAATTAATTTTTATTTTATTTTAATATTTTATAATTAAAGATGAAAGACATAGACGTAGTATAACAAATGTAATACGAATGTAGCTGTTGCGTTCTATTATGGCCAGTAATGATAACAGTACATTTTATCTAGTGGTAGAATAATAATCAGGATATAATAGTTTACATCTGAGGGCAAAAAAATACATTAAATAAACAGTGACATTTTTGTCTTTCTCTCTTTATTATGTCTCAGTCTTCTAATCTTTATCAGCGAGCCTCGACGTTGTCCCACAGGCGTAGCGACCCTTCCCGGCGCCCGGGGACAAACTTTTCGATTTGCAGCCCCCACCCCCCTCAAACTTTCGATTTGCACCCCCCTCAAGATTTCGATTTTCAACCCCTCCCCTACAACTTTCGATTTGCACCCCCTCAAGATTTCGATTTGCAACCCCCCTCAACCTTTCAATTTATTTTTCCAACCCATTTTGGCGCCCCCTAAGGTCACATATGCCCCCCCCCTCGCTACGCTACTGCGTTGTCCCAGAGGCGTCCGCTGTTACATTACTTTGTTCATCATTCGACGTATGAGGACTGGTATTTGTTTACAATCAGAGGCGTAGCGAAGGGGGGGGGGGGCGGGGGGCATATGTCCCCGGGCGCCGACCTTAGGGGTGGCGCCAAATTGAAAGTTTAAGGAGGGGGGGTGCAAATGAAAAGTTCGAGGGGGGAGGGGGTGCAAACCAAAAGTTTGAGGGGGGGGGGTGCAAATGAAAAGTTCAAGGGGATGGGTGGTGCAAATCGAAAGTTTGTCCCCGGGCGCCGGGAAGGGTCGCTACGCCTCTGTTTACAATTTTCAACTATCCTATTGTGTTTCGTACATAAAAATACATATACATACATATTGTTAAGGATGTTGGGGAGTTTTAATTACGTTTACTCGAGCAAACTGTTCTTCCTGAAAGTAAACGAAAACACAGCGAAATCGGGTTTTTAGGGGAGAGTGTGGGGCGGTAAGGAGAAAGGCAATACACAAAAAGGCTGTCTGAAATAGAGCATGTATTTTAGAAGGGGGGACAATAATTATAATGTACATTTTTATTTTGTTTAAAAAGAAGAAGTATCATTCACTCTATTCAGTTATACTTATTACCTACTACACTCTTTTTTAAAAAAAATCAGAATATCAACATAAATACAGAAACTTCAAGTAAGGCAACACATCAACAAAGAGAAACATAGAGAATGTGATAAATTGTATCAAGGATGGAGGTGGAAATAAAGGGAGACAATCGTGGCTTCCTGACTGACTCTACAATTACATGATAGCTTCCCTTTCGGGAACAAAGCAGCTAGAATAAAGACTGAATAGCTTCTATATGATTAGTTCTTAAGATCTTAATACATCAACAAAATAAAAATAAAATTGTATGCGTAGGTGTTTTAAGTGTAGTTGAGGAACAAAATAATGGGAGCGGGTTTGGCTCCTTGCCTGGCCCTGCATATTTTTTTCCAAAAGACGGGGGGGGGGGGGGGGGTTCTAGTGGTTGCATGACTGCTCGGTATGTCCATAATGTCATGTCCTCTACGTGTATGGCACAAGTCGGTCGCAGGAGCTCATCGTTCCGCGGGTTTTGCTAGACCAGGGGTCGGCAACCTGCGGCTTGCGAGCCGCATGCGGCTCTTTTGATATCAAGATGCGGCTCTCCAGCTCCTTGCACAAATACTAATAATCTTAATAAAAAAATAAAATATTTGAAATAAAAAAAATTGTTAGTGGCTCTTTAAACCCAGGGAAATTTTGAAAATTGTAACTTTTGGCTCTTCCGCTTCAAAAGGTTGCCGACCCCTGTGCTAGACTGTTGATGTAATATGGCGTTTTGAAATTCTCTGTTTCAATGTCTGACATAGTGCTATGTAAGCTACAAGTCGGTCAAAGAATATGAAGCACGAAAGCTTTGTATGTGTAATGGTTTCTCTCCTTATGTTTATTTTTAAGTTTTTTTGTATTTATATTATTAGTTTTTAATATATTTCCTTTTTATACGATGCCATTCTTTATTATGTATTTTTAAAAAATAATATTTAAGAGGAGTAATTGCTTTTTAATTTGTTTAGTGTAAAAAAGTCTCTTAATTAAGAGCACACATATTTTACTATTTAAAAAAGGGAAATAAGTCATGGAAGTGGTTCGAACGTTTGCCTATCTTTCACACTACAACTCATGTAGCTATACATTTTTTCCTTTACGAAACAGCGTGTGTTAGTTACTGTAGAACATCACTACTGTAGTAGATCTGTTTGTTTTTTACAGGAAAATAATTTGTTAAACTATAAAAAAAATTGATTTGTGGGCCCCTAAACGGCCTGCCCCCCCCCCCCACATTGCAGGGTCTGGTGGCACTGTAGTACCGCCCCTGGGTCGGTAACACCTTGATACGGAAGAGCCAAAAGTTACAATTTACAAAATATCCCACTTTATAAAGAGCCACATTATTATTTCAATATTATGGTATTTGATTAGGATTAGGTAAATACATTTGATTTCTTATTTAAAAGCATGGAATGTTGTTCCGGTGCAGAGGCGTAGCGACCCTTCCCGGCGCCCGGGAACAAACTTTTCGATTTACACCCCCCCCTTTTGATTAGCACCCCCCTCAACCTTTCAATTTATTTTTCCAACCCATATGTCCGTCCCCCCGCCCCCCCCCCTCGCTACGCTACTGTTCCGGTGCTATCCACAGAACGGCTCTGGGACTGGGCCTGGTGCCCAAACGGCTGTCAGCTGTCCGTATACTCTATATTGCACCTATTCTCACTGTTCTCTGATGAGTGTTTTTATCCTTTTTAAATAGTTTTTCTTTACAGTATAATATTTGTTATGAGTTTTGAAAATAAAATAATATAACTATTAATATTCGTGCAAGGAGCTGGAGAGCC